GTCCTGCTCTGGTGTGGTTACTCTAGGGCGACCAGAACTTGGATGGTCATCTGTCCTGCCAATCTGCCAAAACCATTTCTGCAGTCGGGACACAGTGGAGTGGCTTACTCCATAGTGTCTGGCAACACTGGCAACATGACATTCCTGCCTGAAGCATTCCAATGGCCCTCTCACTTGCTTCTGGTGACATTCGAGGCACAGAAAACTGACTATGTGTGGTCTTTTTCTTGCAGTGACCTAAGCTTTGAATTAAGGCCTTTTTAAAGGTGACCTGATCAGGCATTGTTCCACCTGGACCTCGTTGGGTAAAAGTGCACCTAACGAGCTTTCATGTTATTGCCAAGTTGCAATACCTCACTGCACAAGCTGTTTTGCTGGTCAGAGGGCTTAAAACACATTGACAACTTTTTTAAAAAACAAATAAGCTATAACTAGCTATAACTTCCAGAAAATGTTGCATTTCTTTTTTCCATCAGTTATATTTGTATATATTTAAAGTATATTTTGTTGTTCAATTTGTAGTGATATTTAATTTTATTTCAATATAACACAGATATATATTCAATACTTGGTGCTAAACATTAATAATATGGGTGTCTGTTGACTGAGGTACATCAGAGCCACTGAACATCCTAACAATTAAATTTATGCAATGCCATGTTCGAAAATCAGGGATGTGTGACCCTCTCCAAAAAACTGCACTGGCAGGTCACATCTCAGACACACACTGATACTATGAGCATAATCTCACTGACACACAAAGAATCCATGTTAACCCCATGCCAACAGGATGAAAGAAAACTACATGGTCACTCTATCTGGACCATTGAGCCTGATGCCCTGCAGTGTAGAGAGCTCCTAGCTTAGTACAAATTTGCTGTGGCATGGCACAAGGACAGCAGCCCTTTTCCATTATACCTGCAAGCAACTGACAGTGCATGAGATCCCTACTAAATACAGACACATACTGTATAGAAAGGTGGTCCTACAGTGTTACACCCAAATGCAAAGATACTCTGACAGTGAGACAGAGGAAAAGTTACATGGTAAGACATGTACACTCCCTGCGCATATTGTCCAATCCAATCTTGGATTGTATACAAACACTCAGTTAAGTGGAGTGACAGAGACTTTTCCTAACCTTAAAGGCACAAAAAAAGTTTATCTCATCCTAGCCTAATGTTGTGAATTATGTATTAATAGGTATGTAATTTGATTCTCCTGAAAGAAGAAAAGAATGACTTAATATCAGGGGTCACAAGAAATAAACCGGTGAAGAATAATATATTTTTAAAAGTAGATGTGTCTTTTGAGACATTTCTCTTTGCAATAATATCTGAAATCACAGGCTAAATTTGCATTACAGAGCCTGGAGTTAAAAGGGCTCCCCTACCTCTGGAAGGTTTAAATGCAATTACTGTATATGGTAATGGCTGAAGGAAAAGTAATAAGTGCACTTTGTCTCAGCTTCATTTTGTATAGTTGCTGATTAATTCATTTGATAAATTTAGCCTCTACAATCCTATTTAGCAGCCTACTCATTTTGTCTGTATTATTCTTAATTGGAATAATCATCACTCATAACGGACTTTCAGTCTTGTGTAGCCTGCTTTCCAAAATATGTTTGTTCTCCATCAGTCATACAACAATTTTTTTATACTGTATATATGCTGGAAAATGCACATGGTATTATTCTGTTTTATATAGTATATCCATTATTGTACGCACGTTTTAAATCATATAAAAAATTACATCATGGTATAATTTTGATTTCATTAACATTTAGTTGATTTTGAACTTTGTCTCTTCTGGGTTATGTCATGGCATTTACCAAACCACATTTTTCCATCCGGTGTTGTGGGAAGCCGGAGCTAACCAGCAAGCAATGAGTGCAAGGCAGGGCCATCGCAGTGCAAGCCAATAATACATGGGGACAATTTGAAGGCCTCTGTAAAGGCCGGGGGGGACATTACTCTACTTGAGAAATGTCCTCAGATCTTTAATGACCACTGAGAGTCAGGACCTCAGTTTAACGTCTCATCCAAAAGACGGTGCCCACTACAGTAGTGTCCCCGCCACTACACTAGTCTATAAGGACCCACAGCCCCCTCCCACTGGTCCCAATAACACATCTTCCAGCAGCAACCAGAGCTTCCCAGGAGGTCTCCCCCCAGGTACTGACCAGGTTCAACCCTGCTTAGCTTCAGTGGGTAGCCAGTTGAGAGCTGGAGGGTGATATAGCTACTGGCGTCTTCTGGGTTATATCTTTGGAAATTCAATTATCATTTCTGGCAAATCAAATTATTTGATTACATTTAAATCATTTTGTTGGAAATTTTGGGTTTCATAACATCACCAATCAGAACAAAGTGCTTACCAGAGAAAAAAGCAGATAATATCTGAAATATAGTAAGAAGAAAGAAATAAGAATTAACCTATAAACAAATAGCACAAATGAAAATTGCACATTACATGGAATTAAAATGGGTGTTCTTTAATCTTCTTACTGATACCCTCATAATGAGCCATATTCACAAAATCTTGACAAACTGCTTACCCCCTGCTTCCAGTCCAAGAAGGTGCATCTGTAAGGAACACCAGTTCGACCAGTTAAAACATCTGAGTGTGAGCAAGGGGTGTGAGGAGGTCAGAAATTTGTCCCAGTTCACGCGGCAGTCAGCTCTACAGCTTTCTAATTAATTGCGTTCCAGCACAAGACTGGAGCGGTAGGCCATTAGTGGCCTCCAAGGCAACATTTCAATAGGAGTCATTAGGCAGAGGTTAATACACTGGAAGTTGCCTGGCAACCATGGAGAGGGCAGCTCCAGAGCAGCCAGACTGTTGGTTTATGGGCCATTATCCATTGAATTGGCAGATATTTTGCTCTCTGAGGTTACATCAAAAAAGTGAAACCATTAAATGAGACTTAAACATATTATTTTCTTCATGCTAGTCTTTTCCTGCTGTTGCTTCTTGGAGGAATATCCTTGTATAGCTCCAGTGCTTCTGGAATGATTTTTACCCGATTGCTTTCCTTGTCTCTTCACCACTGTGCTAAGGCCCCGGAAGAAACAAAAATTGCTGTTATTTTTCCCACAGAAGATGCAAATATATCATATTACATTATTTAGTACTCATAATGCCTGTACATTAAATATTCTTTAATTAAATTAATTAATTCAGGTATGTGCATATACATCATGTACTCAATTGTGTCTGACAGCCTAAATCCTGACCTTTTCCCAATACATTTTCCTAACTTTGAAAATTTCACAGACTGGCATACAATAACACATATTTATCTGAAGTATGGGGGAAAGACGTCGTACTGTATGTAATGACTTAAGAGGAACTTAAGAGGAACTGCAGTCTCAATTTCTCAGACTGGTTATTAAATCTCAGCAACATAAAAAATAATTGACGGTATGACAACATTTTACAAATTCTGAATTAAGCACAAAATTGTGAACTTTGTGAAAGTACTGGATAGTCGTCATTTAGTCACAAACTGCTGGTCTCACCACCGGCGAGAGTTCTCACAAATTGCAACATAATGTGGCTCTTCCTGCTCACTAGTCACTGTAATGACTAATGTAATGAGATGTATGAGCAAGTAAGTACAGGTTGTACAGCAGACATTTCATGACAAAACTGTTCCAACATGATCTGCCTGCAGAGATAACAAGGAGTATTTGTTGGCAAAACCATCTCAAAGTTGAGAGCAAATATTTCTATTAGA